ATGACGGCAGCAAACGGGAGTGCGGAGGCGGTCGTGAAGTCGAACGATGTCGCGAAAGCCGTGTGGGCGGAAATCGTAAAGCTCCGAGACGAGATACCGCCTCCCCCGGCCGGAGGGCTATACCCTGACGACAAGGCGGCGAAGGCCTTCCAAGCCGCGGATGCTGCCGTTGCCTCGCTCTGCGGCGTGCCCCGGGAGCAGATGCTCGAAGGGTTCACCCAGCTCGTGGAAGGTTCCCGCTTGAACGACCTGCTGAACGCGCTTGTCGCCAGCGAGGGCCACCCCGCGCTTCAGCACTCTTGCCTGATGGTGCTGTGCGGCGTCGCCTCCCTCCAGCAGGCGCACGTCGCCATCACCGAGCGCCGAGACGTGCTGCAGGCGCTCCTGAAGGCCCTGGCGTCGCCGACAGCGCACCAGATCAGCCCCGAGGGTTCCGTCGGGGAAGACGACCTGCAGATCAACCCAAGCGTGGGGTCAGCGATCTGTCTCAACAGGTCAGTGAGTCTGTTGCGCTAAAAGGTGCTACTTGTCAGATACAGTTGTACTGGTCTGCTGCAGCCAATGGATAGATGGACCAATCTCTCTTCAGAAGTATGGCAATTTGGCACTGGGGTTTACTGGGCTGACTTTATGAAACGTGGAAGTTGCCTCAAAGCCCACGATGATTAGATTCTTGCATGCATGAACCCGGAGCTGGCGCAGCCGTGAGAAATGTGTCTCAACGCGTGAGAGAGACAGACCGTAACACTTCGACGGCGTCGTCGGTGTTCACGCCGCAATTTTTTTTCAACCATTCGACCTTTTGCAGTATTTACCCACGCGATGGCGACAGTGCACGTATCTGTCCCCCTTCGACATCGCAGGAACTGCAAGCCTTTCCAATGCAGCTGAAAAGGCTTCCGCTGAGGTGTCGTGAGTGCAGCACGAGAAACGTGCAGGAGGCGAGTTTGCCCGGGGGACCACAACGACAGCAGCACCTTTGTGCTTCACATCTCTTTCGGCATAATCGTGCTTGATTGGCGAGGTGCCCTCGTTTGGGCACGGGAGTGTGCAAAAAGAACGGAGAGCGATTCGAATTATTTTGAACTCTCCCTCGGCCCCCCTCCCCCCCCCACGCTCATGTGCGCCGCGATGCTCACCAGCCTTCTGGTGTCCTGCGGAGGACTGGGAGAAGACACGATCAACGTGTGGCAGGAGCTCGACGCCCTGTCCGCCATCACGTCGGCCCTCGAGTCCCACTCGGTCTTCGAGGGAGGCGGGGACGAAGACGTGCTGCCCGCAATGCTCTTCGGCCTGGCCACGCCCCTCCTGACCAACTTCCAGCAGCAGCAGCGAGCCAGGCAGGAGCTGCAGAAGCAGCAGCAGCAGCAGCAACAGGCCAGTGAAGCATCAAAAGCAACACCGCCAGCAGGAGAGCAGGGAGGGGAAACGGCAACACCACCACCAGACACAGCCTCAAAGAAGGAAGACGCCACCGCCGGCGCCGGCGCGGTCGTCGACGCAGAGACCGACAAGGCCTCCAGAGCTGCGCGCCAGCGCCTGGCGGAGGCATTCCTGCGCCTGCTCGCGGAGCGTCGGGAGTGGGTCGCGCGCAGCCTTGCCATGGCGGCCAACGCCTCTCCGACCGACCTCTCGGGCGGCGGCGCCACGGCGGCCGCCCCCGTGACCATCAACAACCTCCTGGTGAACTCCCTCGCTCACGCCGATCTGCTGGGCGCGTTCACGAGGCTGACGCCCGTGCGGCTGAGGGCCCAGGCCGTGGCCGCGGCGCGGCAGTGCGAGACCGACGGGACATTCGCCCCCGGGTTCGGCGCGCAGCTGGCGCGGCTCCTGGGGCTGGGCGGGCAGCAGGAGCTCAACCGGAGGATGGCCGGCCACACCGTGCAGAAGATCAAGAACAAGGAGGCGGCGAGGGCGGCCAATATCAAGTGCGCCATGTGCGGGAAGCGGCAGGGGAACGCGAGCGGCGGCGCCAAGTTTAAGGTCTGCTCCCGCTGCCAGGTGGCGATGTACTGCTCCGGCGAGTGCCAGAAGGCTCACTGGAAAACGCACAAGATGGAGTGCAGGCGCGCGTCCTAACGCCACCCTGGGGGATGTTGTCGGTGAGAATTGCGCGAGGGTATGTACGGCGGTGGGCGGCGCTATTACCGAGTACACAGTGTTGGCCCTGAAGTTGCTTGACCAGACGTTCAGTACTCGTGCGTGCGGTTGTACGTCAAAGCGTGTTTTGTTTATGCTTTTGAGGGCGGTTCAAGGGCCTCAGCTGGCTAATAGCTCCCCAGAGGTGCACAACAAGACCTAGTCCACCCGGAGTGTCGGAACGTTTGGGGCTGTTCGATTGCATCTTCGAAGAGTTCATGCTCGCAGTTATGGAAGTTTGTCAGAGACTACATACCGTACGTAGCTGGAGTCACCACCAACAACAAGGGGTATCGACGAGGTTCTTGTGTCCACTTATCTGAATCCTTCTCCACCTTCGCCCCTTGCGTTTTTCCGACGCCCACACCCGTGCCCTCCCGCCGTTCTCTGAACGTCACCACTACCGTTGCCGCCGGTGCAGAGATCAAAGTCTGGGCGAGGAGAGGTGGGCCGGATAGGGGCGGGATGAACCGGCTGGAAGCTAGAGTAACATGGGCAGCCAAGGTCTCACTCTCAGGACGCTTGTGAGGTGGTTGGGATTGTGGTACTCGAGCAATAGAGCCCGCAGCAAAGCCCTGTTTTGACTCAGGGGTAAGTGCCCTGCGAAAAGCCGTGGTGCAAGGAGCGACCACTCATGATGTTCAGTATCCCCTTCCCGAGTAAGTGTTAAGCTCATGTAAAACACCAGTGTGTGCTTATCCCAACCCCTGGCGGATGGTTTTGGTTGTTACTGGTGTCAGTCACACTTTCGTGTCTGAGAGGATCACCCACGTTACCGGCACCACAGGGTGGTAAGTGGCGTGTGCTATGCGCCTTCATGTGTGTGTGTCTCCTTGCGACGGGTGTATTCACGGGTAGCGGAATTTAGTCCTGTGATGGGTAGAGGGGGGTGGGACTGTGCATGGTTGTCTCCTTTTTTGTGATGGTGCGTAGAGCAAAGTTCCTCCCTCTGTTTCTTAGAGTTCTGATACATGTCTCGCTGGCCGTCTGTACGACGGCACACGGCGTCTGCTGTTCCTGTGGTCTGTCTAGAGTTGGGGGGAGTGTCCTAGTTGTTAGCCTTCGAAATAGAAAAGAGTGTGCCCAAGACCACAAAGGGGCTACACCCCTGTGTAGTCTTTTTTCACAAATCACAAAAATCACAACCTGTGTGCAACGGCAGTAACTGCTATACAGGGATCACAACCTTAACCTTGCCCCTTTGGGCGCACTAGATTTTAGAGATTCTGAAAAGAGGTTGGCGTGCGAGGCATGTACGCCCTCGGAGATGTTGGAGATGTCCTGGAGGAGAACGCAGCTCTGCGTGGTGTGAAAACAGCGAATCGTCCCCGGCAGGCGTTGGGAGGTTTTACCCTTTCATGAAGGGGATCTCTACTTTGGTGTTTTGAGCTAAGGTTGTGCATGACGTAAGTGTTTTCTTGTTGTTTTTGAAGATTCTTGTTTTCCCGCGGCCGGAATCACTGGTCATGACCTGTCCCCGAACACCTGGCCCTCGAGGTTCGTCAACACGGTTCTCGAAGCACTATTGTCTGCACGTTCTTCGATCGTCTTCCTGCCACCGCCGGAGGCGTGTAAATTCCCCCAATCCCAAACCACGTGCCTCGCTTCGGTACGGGGGAAGCTGGATTCCGGGCTCTAGTCTTGGAGGCAGCTCTTGCTGCAGCAAGGTTGGAAATCGAGAGAGCATGGCGTTCGCGGTCGAGCAACCTTCCATTGCCCCCTTTCTCCCGTACATGCACAGAGGGACTCTGGCCGAAGTGCGGTTGCGGGGGGCAGTGGTAGTCCCTCCCCCTGCCAGAGCGATAAATTGGACACGGTCATATCATGTGTCTCATTCACGCACTGCAAGTGCGGAGTGGCGATCTGACACGCGACTCTTCCAGTGGCAGGGCTGCGACACGAGCATTGGTGTGGGTTTACATTGGGTTCGGAAGAAAGCACAGTAAACATGAAGAGCTGTGTGCCAGCCATTCAGGGCAACGAGGTGCGATCAGACAATTTCCACATGTAGTTGGAGAGCGTGGCTTTTGTTCCGGGTTGCCCGCCAAAAAAAAAAGACTACAGGTAGACGACGTCTCATAAATCCCATAGAGGGGCGCTCCGGAAAACTATACAAGTGCCTCAAGCCTGTTGGGGCGTGAAGCCCGCCCCAGCTTTTGCTCCCTCCCTCCGGCCCTCTCCTGTACCCCTGTGACTAAGCAGCGGAAACAACTGTACATGATCCTGACCCCCGGGCCAGCCGCACTTGTCTTGTGTCTTAACAAGGCCAAGGCACGAAGTGCAGGCTAAACAAGCATCCGATGAAGACCGCGAAGAGGATGAGGGGCGTCAGGAATCCCCACACATTCCACAACGACATATTCAACCTGCGCGATGGAAGCAGGCAGGAGTACAAACGGGCGAGCAGCGGGTTGAACGTAACGTGTGTCGATGGGGAATGCTGCCATTGGACGAGGGCGAGGTAACAACTCGCAGGTGCGCGTTACAGGCACGTCGAAAAGTTAGGCATGAGCAAAATCAAGAGGATTCTTCTCGGCTAGATGCACGATGGGATGAGAGTCGTACAGTCACAATGGCTGGCATCAAGAACACAAATAACACTGCCGTGGTGACCTCTGTCTCCGGCCCCCTCTGTTGTTATCTAGTAGAACAACCACCAATGAACCACAACGACTGTGCGAGGATATACAGCAAAAAATCTGTGTGGCTTTCGTGGGCAACACATGTACCCTGGGTGTGAGAGTGCGGGGTAGGCAAGAGTTCGTGAAAAAATTCGCAACACAAACATGATGGTGTGCATAGCGGAACTAAAGAAAGCACGTATTTATCCTCACAGCCTTCGTCTTACGGTAAGCTGTTTGCAAAGAAGATGCGTCAAGCAATCGGTCTAGATTTGATCTCGCGAGCGCGCTTGAGCCTTCTTCAGGCAACAAAACAAGGCCAAGACTGGAATTTGACGCAAAGGGGTACGTATGTAGCGAAGACACTCACGCCAAAGCGCAGATCAGCCCGACAACAGTCGCCGTAGGGATGGCTCTTGGGCTGTACACGTTCCACGACACCCGGATGCCTCTCACGTGCGGCAGCCACACCGTCAAGTACGCCAAAATTACCGCGTTAACACTGAAGCACACCAACCCGATATTGAACCATAACCTGCGGGACAGTCAATCACACAGCGGGCGCCGGAGAGATGGATGGGGCAAGTCGATGTTACCCATCTTAGGCATAGCATTGTGCAATTCCCCCAAGATTAGAATCACATTTACTGCGAAAATGAAGCCCAACAGGACAGAAATACCAGGTCGCATACCTTCGCGACAACATGCACACATCGCCTGCATGCAAAAGAAGTGGTTGCTTTGGTACATGGCACCGGCTCAAAATAGCAGCAGTTTTCCAGGGACGTTTCTCACCGATCGACCCGCTCATCTTCCACCAGCACTCGAACGAAGTCCGTGCGGTACACCACCGCCACTCCCACCACCACCCAGAAAAAGGCGTGCAGCTTGTTCGAGATCCTGTCCGCCAGCTGAGACCGCCGTCGCTTAGACTGCTCGGCCTCGGTGGCGGGGCTGCCGCAGGAGGGGGGGGGGGGGCGCAACGCCGGCCAAACGTCGTCAAGAACAGGAGTAGGTGGGGGCAACTGTTTGTGGTCGATTCCTGTATGCTGGTCTTATGCACCTCAAGCAGGGCAGGGTACGTACTGCTGTAGGGAGTGCATTACCATCCCAACTCTCCGTATGTCAGGTTCGTCGTCCAGCGAGCGAGAGTCCTTGTCCTTGCCACACATGACCGGAACAACAGCGCTTGAACCAAAACTCACCTACCGCCATCACCAGACGTGACCCTGCTGTAGCGCAGGCTCATGTCCCTGCTGCTGTCGGCTCTCCCAGACACAGGCGTATCACGGCTCGCGTTGGCGATCCCTTCACCGCCTGCGCGGATTAACGGTTCACACAAGAGCCAACATCGGATGTTGCCGGATGCAACCTTCGTCGCTTTCGTCCCTGTGGTTGTTGTTGTTATCGATACTTATCTGTGATCACAGCCGTCTGGTTGTGCAATTTAACAAAGCCATGTGCGATTTCCGGGTAAGGCTGAGAGGAACGTCGTCGAGGGGGGTGAAAGAGAGCATACGGCTTTGTGAAGACGTTGTTGTGAAGCGAAGAGACAGGCTACCCATGTGAAGGAGCTCAGGAGCGCCGTGGGGTGCGAGGGAAGGAGGCTGAAGCTCACCCGCGATGGCCTATTGCATCATCGCAAGCGCAAACCGTAGGAGGAACGCCAGGGATGTACCAAGCATTAACTTGGTGTCTCGTCTGAACAACTTTTGCTTTGCCGGCGGTTGCGTGTGAGATACATCTACCCGATTGCCGTAAACATGTCCCAGACACTCACAAGGTTCTGTCCGAGTCGGCTAGCGAAAATGATACCACTCCTCTTTGAGTTGACGTGTAGCATGCTCTACAGACGTACCATATGGTGCCATGGTAGTAATCTACGCGTATTGTACGAGATATCCGCAGCATACAGCCTCCCAGATGTGTCCAGTTTTATAAGAACACGAAGAATGAACCCCGCACGAACGACAGGAGACAAGATGCAACACGCTCGAGACCAAGGTGTACGGCCGATGCTGAAGTGTCGAACAACGTAAAGCCAGCACGCGCCCGATCTCGAAACGGATATACCCACAGCAGGTATATCTAATCAGTAAACATCCACTGTTGCGCGACTCGCATCACCCCCTCGAGCATACCTCGCGCAGTGATGTTGTCGTTTTTCGTAGCTTCCTCTTCGTCCTGGTAGAAGCTCTCCTCGTCGCTCCCGGCTGCCGATGAGGAGGATCCAAGCGGGATGAAGTGGGCTCGGGACTGCTCCAAGGTCTTGAACAACTTGGCTCTTCCCTTGAACTCTTGGGTCACCGAGGGCATCTACTGCGACTTAAAAGGCCGTCTGCAGTGCACACGACGCCACGCTCTGCAGCCGAAGGCGAGGGTGGGAGAGAGACAGGCGGCCACAGACGAGTAGCAGGTGCACGTTGGCCTGCTGTCCTGTGTGTTGCAGGTGGAACGGATGAGACCGGGGGTGACACACCGGGAATATGGGGGTACAAAAAACGAAAATTGTTCTTGACCGCGTACCCCCTTCTCCGTGACTCTCCGTCGGTCGCGCTGCGCGGACCTTCGTCGCTTGCTAGCTGTGTGGGCGAGCTCTCCTCTTCACACCAGCTCTACCTCTTCGCCCGACTTTGGCCAGGATGCATCAAGAAGTGGCCGGATTAGGTGAGAGGGTCGTGTGCGAGCTTGACATTGTTTCTGTTGGAGACTCTTCATCTTATTTAGACACACACATCTACGAGTCTCGTTTTTTATCATTGGGGAGCCTGGGAAAAAACCTGTAAAAAACTGCGGAGCTTGAACCACAGGCGCTACGGGCCTGAAGTAAATGCAGGGGTGAACTACGACCGAGAGAGAAAGAGGGGACTCCATCATTCCAGTTGCGGCGTATCTGAGAGATCTGCACGTTGGTATCGAGCAAAGCGTCGCAACATCGAGGTGTTGATCGTATTTTTTGAAGTGTATTTTTTTGTTTACAATCGTCTACAGTACTTGTACTGCCGCACTGCGCTACAATTTTGACGTGAATGCATATCGTGGTCTCCCTACGGTAAGAAGTTGTAGACTAGACGGACTACAACATCATCGTTCTCTTCAACAGCTAACCTCCAGCGGGTCCCGACGTGCCGACGTCATCCCGTGCTCTTTGGTTCACCGATCTGTGACTCTTGTTGTGATGCCGACTGACAAACCGGTTTCTTTGCTATGCATTTGTACTCGGAACAATTCCCAGCAGCGGTTCGTTCATTGGTGTCCAAAATTTTTGGCCAGTTTTTTACGGCAGCGGTGGAGCACCTTGGTTTCTCTTTTTTTCTCGTTTGCCAACAGCAAAACGAGACAACAACCATTCGGTAGCACTTCACACCATTACAAATGTGTGTTGTTTGTGCTGGTTGCCCGGTAGCAGCGAGGGTTCGGGGTGTGCGCAACAGACAGCAGAGTGTTTCGTTTCTTTTAACAGCAGTGTGGGGGCCTGTCGTGCGAAGACTCACGTTGCGACACCAAGGCAATGGCGCATTCAAAGTGCTATCTGCTGTGGTTACGTAATCTCGAACGGACAGCAGTCTGTGTCCTTTCCGTAATTTTCTTTGAAAAGAAGCTGTCGGTGCTGCTGTATGGCGTTGCGTTGGACGTCTACAGGCTACATGTGGATGCGATCCCACCACACCATATAGACTATCTGCCAACAAGTGGAATATAGTCGTGTGGGTGACTGCATTACACTCGACCTTTCAAGGTGGACGAGAGAGCGGATGAGTGCTCCACCGGCCGAAAAACACTATTTAGGCAGGCAAGCACAATCATACAGCGGGGTTTCGTATCCCTATCCCTATCCCTACCCCCACCCCGTACCCCCTACTAAAACCAAGATTACAATAAATAATTTACCCCCTTTTACTAAAACCAAGATTAATAATACTTGTACACTCGCGAAGGCTAAGTACTGACGGAACGTCGGGCGTGCAATCCATCCACCTGCTGCTTCTGTGATGCGTCTTCGCATGCCGCCGAAAGATGCAGTCTAACTAACGCCCACAACGTAGGGCATCGTAAACAACACGCGCCACAACGCCATTATGCTTTAGGTGCCAAAGAGAAGCAGGAAACACACCGCCTTACCTTGGACCACCCACACCTTTGGCAACCCTGTAGAATCGGAACCCGAAACATGCGGAACGTGTCTGACGCAATGGCAAGCTCGTTCAATGTTTGTTATACGTTATTTTCCATTACGGCGGCAACGAAAACAATCAAGGCTAAGTTCGAGATGTTGTGTGTGACAAAGCTTATGCTAACCTTGATCTTTGCAAACTATTCGAACGAAGGTAGACCCCCCTGTGGGTAACAGGCTCACACAGGGCGGTTTGGCTACCACCCTTTGTGCCAGGTACTTACATGTGTCCTGGAAAGGTTGGAGAATCCGTTTGAGGTGATGAAGCGGTTTCGTGCGGTGACGGGGTGGCATCGGCGGCAGCGATGTCGGAGGTGGCGATCGATCATAATGGTGTCTTATTCTTGTAGCCGTCGGTGGGGTCGCACCACTAGTTTTTCGGGTAAAGTGCTTCCCCAACACACGCGAGACTGTCCCAATTTTCATCCCTCCCGCCACAGCACGCTTGTCCCCTCATTGGCGCTGTACCTGTTCCCCCCTAAACCAACCGCGTACACCACTACTGTACACTCCAGTGTACTCGTGGGGCAGAGGAGAGGACGGACAGCTAGGCCTGGGAGACACAAACGACCAGGACAGGCCCGTCTTGGTTGATGCTCTCAAGTCCAAGGGTGTCGTCCAGGTCGCCTGCGGGAGCGGGCACACCGTGGTCCTAAGCGGTGAGTGCCGTTGGTTGTTAGGATACGGAGGGGTGGGGTGGGGGGGGGGGGGGGGGGGGGGG